GTGCCCCATCGTTGGTATCAGTGGGAGGAATAGTGCCCCATCGTTGGTGTCAGTGGGGGAGGAATAGTGCCCCATCATTGGTATCAGTGGGGGAGGAACAGTGCCTCATCGTTGGTGTCAGTGGGGGAGGAACAGTGCCTCATCGTTGGTGTCAGTGGGGGAGGAACAGTGCCTCATCGTTGGTGTCAGTGGGGGTGGAACAGTGCCTCATCGTTGGTGTCAGTGGGGGTGGAACAGTGCCTCATCGTTGGTGTCAGTGTGGAGGAGGAATAATGCCCCATTGTTGGTGTCAGTGTGGAGGAGGAATAATGCCCCATCGTTAGTGTCAGTGGGGGAGAGGAGCGGCTGCTCCTTCTTCCAGTGCGGCCGCTCGATTTTCACGGGGCCGCTCGGCTCCGCCTCCTCGCCGGTGATTGGTCGCCTGTGAGGAGGCGGAGCCGAGCGGCCGCGTGACCATCGAGCGGCCGAACTGAAAGAAGGAGCTGCCGCGCTTCGTGGACCGGATCGTCGTGGGACCGGAGCCAGGTAAGGTACAGCAGCCCCTCTGTCCACCCCTGTACTTGGTGTCCGCTGGAGGAGGAGGGGGGGCGGCGCCGCGCCTCCCCTCGAAAAAGTGCCGCCCTGACACGGCTCGCACCGGCGTATAAGACGACCCCCGACTTTTCAGAAGATTTTCAGGGGTTGAAAAGTCGTCTTATACGCCGGAAAATACGGTATTTCCATGCAATAAAAGTACCGCTTTGAGCACAGAAATATGGATATAATCAGACCGCTAGGGAGGTTAAAGCTCCAATTGTGCTGACTTTTTAGAATTGAATCATGGTTCTCTGCTGGACAGGCTGTGGTTATAAGCAATTTAGGGGTTCTAACATGCAGAGTTTCACCTTTTGTGAAATGGTTGTCTGACAATGTCTCAGGGTGTGGAGTTCCTGTTTCTTGATCCTTTTGGGCTCGTGAAAATAAAGCTTGGGGCCTTCCTTCTCGACTGGCTGGGCTTTTCCTTTAAGGACTTTTCCCAGGTCCCATATCTGGCACCTGTTATTTTTTCAGGGACTCTTTTCCTTCCCTAATATACTTTGCGGGTTGTTTACCCTCCCTTATAGAAATTAGTTGTTATTCCACCTCTTGGTGATTCAGGTTGTCCAGCCTTTGATCGATTTATCGTGTTCTATGTTGAGTAACTCCTGACTGTTCTTGGTCTTGGGCATTAGGTTTATTCTCTTTGCCTGTTAGCTTGTTTCTGGTTGCCCACTCCTCCGTTAGACTGCTTTTTGAATTCCCCTCAGTGTACGGGCAAAAATAGGATTGTTGCACTCACCATAAAATTGTTTTCATGAAATCCATTAAGAGACAAAGATGAATGATATGATCCATTATGTTGATAGGAGAGCGAGTAAAGTGAGAGATGAGCTCACAAGTGTTCTGCTCACTCTTTTTGTTTCACATTGCCAGAATGGGGAGAAGACCTGTAAATGATAGTGGAACTGCAGCAGAAAAATATTAGGTACCCCCCCCCCCCCCCCTTAATATATGCTATATGGCAGAGCTGTGCAAATATCAGGATTAGATAGACCTATACGTTTAGATATGCAGTACGCACAGGCCAAGAGATTATAGCAAGAATTTTGTATAGGTAGATCTAAAAATATATACTGACATCCATCCAAAATTATTTTCTTTTTTGACCTAACCTTTGATGGTGATTGAGGTTTGTTACTGATTTTGGCTGTTTTGGCCGCCATGTTGTACAAAGTTAGAAAGTTCACAAAGTTCTGTAATGTGAACTTTTTCCTTTTATCTCTGTTTAGGGATTCTTTTAGGTATGTAATGTTCTAGAACATCTTGACAGCTTCTTCTGTGGAGCAGAGTTTGTATTTTACTGTGTCAGGTTTGTTCCTTGGTTTGTTTTTGTTGACGTCATTGCATCAAAAGTTTTACTGAATTCATCCACTTACAAGGTGATGGGACTTGTTCTGGCTGTCACTTTATAATTCATTTAGTATGTGTGAATTGTGCAAGAATGTTCTGATGAACTATTGGAATTTGGAGCCATTCTGTTTATAATTTTTTTTTTTTTTTTTTTTTTTTTTTTTTCAGGAATCACATTTACATTTTGCATGCTACATGAATACATTTTATGCAGTTTTTCACATGGTTCTAATTTAAAATGCAGATTTATAGAATACCTTTTTTACTTGCATACCTACCAGCTTTTATACCTGTACAATAAACAGTGCAGTGAACACCCTGTTTAATGACTGCTGGGATAAGGTCAATTTATTTTGAGCCTGACCATAAAACCGACCTCACACATCAGCAATTGTGCCTTCGCTTTAATGGCTGGCTATTGGCTGCTGATAAATAAACAGAGGTCCATGTTTTAAGAACCAGGGAAAGCATTTGTCCTCCTATATTATCTGCAAATATTAAGGCCTCACGGGCCGTATCTTGTTTTAACTTCTGTTAGTCATTTAGAAGACCAGATGTCAAAGTTGGTGCACTACTGTGGGTCCTGTATGTGGGCAGTCTTATATGGACTCCAAAATAACATCCACATGAATGGCAAAACCCAAGGTTTCCCAGCAGAGCATTGCCAAAAGCATCTCACTGCCCTGGCCTGCTTGCCTTCTTCCCATAGTGCATCTTGGTGCAATCTCTTCTAGAGGTAAACGACGCACACATACCTGGCCATCCACATAGCATGAAAGAAAATGTGATTCATCAGACCAGTCCTCCTTCTGTTGCTCCGTGGTCCACTTCTAATGCTCACGTGCCTGTTGTAGGTGATTAGTTGTGGCCATGGGTCAGCATTGGCACCCTGATTGGTCTGCGGCTACACAACCTCCTATGCAACAATGTGCATTACGCTTTGTGTTTCGACACCTTTGTATCAGACCGAGCATTGACTTTTTCAGCAATTTGAGCTACAGTAGCTCTTCTATTGGATCAGACTACAAAGACCAGCCTTCCTTCCCCCAATGCATCAGTGAGCCATGGCCACCCATAAACCTGTCTCTGTTTTTGCTGGTTTTCCTTCTTTGGACTACTTTTGGTCAGTGCTGACTGGGAACATCTGAGAGGAGCTGCAGTTTTGGCGTTCTAACCCAGTCATCTAGCCATTACAATTTGGCCCTTGTCAAAGTTGCTCAAATACTTTTGAGTTTCCCCATATTATTTTTTTATTTCAACATACCAATTTCAGAGACAACATTTTTACTTGCAGCCTAATGTATTCCACCCACTTTCAGGTATAATCGCAACAAAATATTTTATATTATTTATTCACATTTTACTAGTTGGTCATAATGTTATGGTTGATGGGTGTTTTAAGGATAAGCAAATACCTTTTTTTTTTGTTTTAAAAAGTCTCTTCTGTGTTTCTCACGAATTAAGTGGGGTATTTTTGGTTCCTTTTTAGCCCACCTCATTATAATGGGTGGGCTAAACACTGATGATGACCAACTAGCCTGATACCTTTGTTCACAGTTTGGAATAAATAGTTCTTTAATATTAGGATGTATCAGTACTATAAACCGACCGTTCCAGATGTACATTTGACCACAGGGGCATAAAGGAATTATTTGCATGGCTTTCACCCACTAATTAGCTGATTTTTAGGTGCTGTAGCATAGGGCTTTTGCTTGCTTTAAAGTGGTTGTAAACCCTTATACCCAGTGAAGTGACTGGCCTCTGTTGATGCAGAGATTAAACCAATCCTCCTATTTAAGTTATACCTGTTTATCTGCAGTCTTCTCTTCTCTACATTCCTTTTAAAGTCCAGAATTTTTAAAGCTTGTCTGAGAGTCCAGGAAAAAGTGGGTGGGGAGCTGAAATTGCCCTCAGCAGAGCTCAGTGTGGAGACTCTGAGAGCTGATTGGAGGGAAGAGACACACCCCCCTTCATGCAGCACACAGGGACAGAGCTGAGGCTGTCTATCTGCTGGAGATCCCTCCCCTGCCACCATTTTTCTCTTGGTGTCAGGAAAACTTGTCAGATGTTCATGCTGATAGCAGAGGAACAAAGCAGCAGATGTAAATGACACTTAGTGCTCTTAATTGAGGCAAGTATTCACTATACATGCTTTGTTCATATTTCATGTCCGAGGTGTACAGCGACTTTAAGGTTTTGCATTCCCATGAAATTCATGTAAATACAAAATCAGTTGAAGCAGATCAGAACAAGGTCAACTGCAGGTAGGTCAAAGACATCTTTCAATAAGTTCTTATTTCTGAAGCTTGATCAACTGAGCCCATCAACTCAAGCCCAAAGCCTCTTGACACAGGCTCAAAATTCGGCAGGGACCAGCCGAATTTTGATCCATGTATGGGCACTTTGATTGTACAGAAGTCGGATTATTAGATTACCCCTGCTCGATCAGCACTGTAGGCTAAAGCCTGCAACGCTAAGCAGTGTATTCTGGTAGTGGAGAAGTCTACAATAGCTCATTGGGGAAGATTCTGCTGGTTGAATACGTAGAACTGACTTGTCTATGGGCTGCCTTAAGTAGGCCATATACGAGTCAAAAAATGAAAGTTCTATCAATCCAAAAAGCAAAAATGGCTAAAACAATTATTTTGGCATATCCAGCATATTGAATCAGACAGTTTTGATTGTGGCACGAAAATCTTGTGTTTTCAGAAGGCACACTAATGATGTGAAAAATGAATGATTTGACAATCAACAGTAATTTTGTTCGTTTTTTTGGATTCCTCTATCACCTCTTTTAGTCTCATCAGAGAGAAAGGTGGGGTACAGTCATTGTGCAGCACTTCAGAGCGGGAGGCAGAATTTACAAATGAAAAGAGGAAATATGGCTCGCCCAATATACCTAATATAATTACAATATATACATAGGAAGAATTTTTTTTTAAAACCTGAACTATTGATAAGATTTATTTAGAGCTGATCACACTCACATGAATGTAAAGAAAATTAATAGTTTCCCTTTTATTTTAAGTAAAAATTATTTTAATTAACTTTTTTGTTGTTTCCACGTGTAGGTTTTACTTGATCATCTCCTGAAAGAAACCCCGGACTCCCTAAGTGATCCGCAGTATGTGTCTTTCTGGTTTGTTCATTTTATTTTTGTCCTTCTGACTTATTGCAGTTAAATTATATAGTATCAAGATGAGAGAGAGAAAACATTGAAGTGCAATAAAGTGGATTTAAAGTAAAAACTTAAACTGACATGAAGGGTTTTAATGACAGAAAAGACTCTGTTATGTCTCTTCTGTCATAATAGCCTCTCTCTGCCTGTCAGCGGTAATGTACACTGAGCCACAGCTCAGAATACATTTATGCACCGCTCTGTGCCATGATAAAGCGACTCCAGTGCGCATGAAAGGGAGTAACATCATTGCGGCCAAACGGTGCAAACCCAAAAGGAAGACCGGGAGAGGATGAAAGTGCCTGGACCAGCTGGAACACTGACAGCGCAGCGCTGCAGGGATTTGTTTGACAGGTATGTCTGTCTATGTATGCTGTGCAAAGTATTTTAAAAGATGCCTTGTATATCTAACACAGCACTGTTTGTATAGATGTCATTCCTTTTTTTTTATTAATACAAAGTAGAATTTTTTTTTAGTTACTTGTTTGGTCTATGAATTGCATAACAAAAAATAAAATTTTGTGCAAGACAGTATCCTGAATGACCGTTATTGCCAAACCAATAGACCTGCTGTGGTTCATAAGGGGGTATATACAGTGGGGATCGAAAGTTTGGGCACCCCAGCTAAAAATTTGTATTAATGTGCATAAAGAAGCCAAGGAAAGATGGAAAAATCTACAAAAGGCATCAAATTACAGTAAGCTTCACTTTTGGAAGATATAAAAACACATTTCTCACAAATATTTATTTAAAAAAAAAACATTGCATTTATTTTTTAATTTATGTAGGGCTAGTACCTGAATTTGTCTACACAGCAGACTCCTGTAATGCCTTGCCTGCAGTGAGGAAGAGGCAGCACTTTTTTCCATTATTGTCTAATCACAAGACTGGAGGTGTTGTCTTGAACAGTGGTACCTTGATCATATGATGGAGCACAATTTAATTATAATAAAATCTAAATTAAATAGCAGATTTTAAACTTTTTTTTACAGGTTAAACTGTTCTCCATATGTATTGTGTGTTTGAATGCTTTTCAGCATGATACAAACCGTTTTTTAAATTATGTATTTCCAATTGGATATTAAATCTTTATGTTCTGCATTTTGTGAAATCGTACTATTGTTTTGCAATTTTTTTTTTCTCTCCCCTCCCACAGAACAGTCCCACCAGAGGAAAGGGAATCTAAGTACTTCCGAGTTGTCACCTGTTCTTTGCTGGCTCTGAAGCGTCTGCTTTCTATGCTGCCAAGTGGAGAGAGCAGCGTCCTTCAAGAGAGGTTGGCTCACCTTCTGTCACAAAGCAAATTCTGGAAGTACAGCAAGCACCAGTCACCAAATGTAAGACCTTAATGCATGATGTGTTGGGGAGGTGTCTTGTTTTTCCTTCTGCTAGCTGATTCCTACCTATGATTTGTTGCTGTCCAACTCAAGCATCTCCAAAATAAACAAAAAAAAAAAGTTTGTGTACACCTTATTGCCTTAGCCAGAAAAAATCTGCTGGCTGGTATAAAGTGTAGTCATTTAGAGGCTGCACATACCTGCACTAGGTCTCACTAACCCCACTTCCAACTGAGTGCGAGTTCTTACAGACTGTCAGTCCCCAGCCAGTCTCCTACAAATTCCCTTTGGTAAGTACAAATTTATGGGGGGGGGGGGGGGGGGAGGCATGTAAGCTTAAATGTTTTAAAGAATAAGTGCACTTTTATAAAAAGTGTGCTTTATTCTTTTTTGCCCCTCTCCTGGGGAACTGGAGAACGACCGATTGCAGGGGAGAGGGACAAAACAAATAAGGGCTCATTGTATGACAGTGTACTAATTCTTTGTTTGTGTTTTTTTTTTTTTTTTTTTTTTTTTTTTTTTTTTTTGTTGTCCACGGGGTCGATTCTGTTATGATTAACAGGGGATCAGCTCACAGATTGACTGCTGATCAGAGCATAGCGGGTGAATGACCCATCTGTGTCCGCTAAGTTTCTGCAGAGCATATACAGACAGAGCCTTCTTTGTTCTATGGGTGGCCATGAGTAAACAGATTCCACCTAAATCGAAGCGGACGGGTCCACATCTGTGTGTTTTTGTTTTTTTTTTTTGTTTTCAGTGGACCAGACCCGGAGGTAGGCAGATGTAAACAGATGCAAGTCCGTTTACATCCGTCCATAGGAATGCATGGACCTTCCAATTTAAGTCTGCCTGAAAAACTTGACAGGTGGACCTGATCGAATCACCTGTATGAAAGGGGCCTCAAAGGGTCCCTGTAGTAATACAATAATATTTGTAAACTCGCAGTTTCATGGATTGAATGAAGATGGGAGACATACATTTTTATTTTTTTTCATTTTTCGCATGCTAAATAAATCATTGGAAAGTTGGCTCTTTAAAAATACCTGCTGTTGCTTCTTTTGATTCAACCATTAAAATTCTTTTGTCAGGCATGGCAGTTCTCATAAATCTGACTGACTGGAATTTTTTTTTAAAGTGAAAATAAAACTGTAAAAAAATAAACGTGTGTACATATTCCTGTATTTTATTTTATTTTTTTTTTCTTTTGTAGATTCGCTCAGCTTTCTTCGAACTAATCTCTGCATTGTGCCAGTACCTCCCTGAACTCTTAAACACAGAGGCTTCCCGAGTGTGTCCGGCTGTTTTGCTCAGTATTGATGACAGTGATGCTGTAGTGTGTCCTGCTCTGTGGGAAGCTGTCTTGTACACTGTAACCACCTTAGAGGTAAACTTCATTTTGTTTTTTTTTTTTTTTTTTTTTTTTTTTTTTATATACTTGTGGCATGGTATCTATGTTTGCCCCACACATTTGAACCTACTTACTGTTGAAAGACTTGCTACCTCGGCTGGAAGTCTGTACCAAGCATGAACTACTCATACTTTTACTGCTTTCTTTAGTTATGAACTATCCTTCTGCTAGTTTGAGGTCTTGTTCTTGACCTCAAATTGAAAATATTGCTTTCCTCAACCTTTTTCTCAACCTTAAATTGGCTGTAAAGGCTCAGGGTTTTTTTACCTTCATGTAGTCTATGCATGATGGTAAAAAATCTTCATGCAGTAGCACTCCCCCTCCCCTCCCCCAGCCCCCTCAACACTTACCTGAGTTCCATCTCGATCCAGCGATGTGCACGAGAGCCTCGGCTGTCCCGTTTTCTCTCCCTCCTCATTGGCTAAGGCGGCAATCAATCATAGCCAGTAAGCCAATAAAGAGAGCGGGGGTGAGGCCGAGCCATGGCTGTGTGAATAGGTGCCCCTATAGTAAGCTGCTTGCTGTGGGGGCACGTAGCAGGAGGGAAGGGCCAGGATCGTCGTCGGGGAGAAGAGGAAGATTGGGGCGGTTCTGTGCAATACCACCACACAGAGCAGGTAAGTATGACATGTTTGGTATTTTAAGCCTCAAGCACACAGGGTGATTTTTTCTTACTGCTTGTAAACAGCCCTCCATGTTATCCTATGTGTCAATGTGCACATAGACTTTTTAAAAGCTATTAGTGGCAGGTATATTCACAGGCGGAAAAGAAAACACAGCGCTGGTGCGTCCAGGATCAGCAGTTGACAGAAAAAACCGCTTGAAGCGTCTAAATGCATGTTAACACTAGGTACATTAATTCATTTCAATGACCAGAATAAATTATTATTGGTCAATGAAATTAACGCCCAAGTGCTTGACACCTGTAAACACGCCTAAACGCTCAGATGTTTTTTCTTGACAAAACGCTGCTGCCAACAGGAGAATCCTTTTTTAAAACAGCCTGTGTGCATGAGGCCTTAAAAAAAAAAATATGCCTTCACAATCACTTTGCTGTATTTAAAGGTTGCACATCTTTCCTGAGGACTGTACATATTGGGTAAATGAAGTTTCTTCTGATATCTTTAATTACTCAAACCTTTCCTCATTTGTTGCCCATCTCTGGACTATTTTTTTTTTTTTTTTTTCATTTTATGTGTTTTGTTTTTCATGTTTGTATCCAATTAGGTAAGGTTTACTTGGCTTCCAATAATGCAGAAAAAACTAAATTGGCAGATGAGACCGCTTATCAAAATAAAGAAGCAAAAAAGAGGCCTGGGAGGAGTTGGACCTAAGCCTGATTTTCCCAAGAAAAAAAAAAATCAAGATTATACAATTTAGTTCAGCAGCTTGAATCTCTGGATCTACTGTTCATTTAAAGTGGAATTCAAGCCTACCACTAACTATTTCTCAAAATATTCTCTCCACCCTTATCCTACCCTGTGTTAAAAGATCTGTATATATTTACCTTTTCTTCAAGTCCCCTCTGGTCTTGTGATCCTGCAGCTCTGGCAGACCTGTGCCATGAAGTGCTTGACAATGGTTGATAATTCCAGGAACCGTGACATCACTCATAGGCTCCCATAGTGCCAGCCTTTGTTGGGGCTCGCTCTTCTCTTTTGCAGCAGCTGCTCATTGACATAGGAGGGCCGGACCTTCAGGATCACATGACCAGTGCGTAGCAGACCGAAATGTGAGCATAAAGATTTTTCTTACTTGGGGTATGTAGGAGGAGGGGGCAGGGAACATTTTTAAGACTAGTTAGTGTTTAGCTTAATTTAAAGTGCATATAAAGTTGTGTATTAAATGTAAATATCTCCAAAGTGAGGGGAAATGCCATTCTCATCACTCAGACAGGTGTTCCCATTGGAAGATTCCCTCTCTGTTCCTGTATTGGGGACAACAGGAAAATTTTAGATTTCCATGATGAGACTGAATCTCCCAGACAACAGTAAAAAATGCACACACATTCTCCTCCCTTCCCCATAATCCAAAACTAAAGTGAGAAGATTTGCCTTTTAGGTAAACTTTAACAGATGGTTTTGGTGAAGGGGCATATAAGATGTATTAATGACTAAACGTCCTCCTTGTAAGCCTTCATTCAGTCCTATGGCTTTCTTACATTGTGTTGAGATGTGTCCTAGGCTGAAATATTATTGGCTGTTTATCTGGCACAGTAGTTAAGTAGGTGGTACTGTTACTATGTATTAACCCCTTTAGTGACCGATGGTAAAACAAATGTTAATGCCTGAACACAATTTTGCAACTTTGACGTGCTTTAGTAAAACTGTATATATTATAACTACAACTACTGACCCAAAATACTATTTTAGTAGTAAATTTTTTTTGCACGTTTTTTTTAGCTGTATATTTTTTGCTATTACCATCTTGCCACCAAAGAACAACCTAAAATAAATTTTCCTGCTGCTGACGATCTCAGAGATACCACTTATGTGTATGTTATTTGTTGTTTGTACCTGTAGTAGGGACCAGAAACAAAAGTGTATAGTTTTTTGATTTTTTTATCCTACCTAAAACACACTGACACTAACTGACAATGATACGAATTTACATTTTTTAATGTAAATTTAAATCCTACCCAAAATATACTAACCCTGACCTTGACTAATACTAACCCTGACACTGACCTAGATCAACCCTTGATCTAGCTATTTTTTTCTTTATTTTTAATGTTTAAATTTATTTATTTACACAATTTTGTTTGTTTTCATCTTTCTCTCCTGCAAGAAGAGAAAGATACAATGTATCTTTCACTCCTTTCAAAAGAAAAAGAAAACACATGGGCAAGCTGCACAGTGACTGATCACTGCAATAGCCAATCAGAAGCTATCACAGCAATCAGGTGATCGGGAACCGGGAGTCCCAGGTCCCTATCATTAATACGAGTCACAGGGCTCTCGGTGAGAGCCCAGTCTTTGTGCTGGTAGCGTGCTGTGCCATGCGCTCCCATCCCAAAGAGGTATGCATACATGCAGCCTCACAAATAAAGACCCACTTCCATGAGGCCACATTTCTGTGTACTGTTGGCGGGAAGGGGATAATGATATTTCGGTTCCATTCCCAGGAGGACTTAGAATGTAAGCTCCTCAGGGGCAGGGAATCATGTAAATGCACTTTTGTGCAGTGTAAAGTGCTATGGAGTGGGTGACAACATTGTAAACCATATGAGAATGTGACCGTGTTTGACATGAGAATGGGGACAGTAAACAATTATTAATAGGGTGACAAATGTTTTGATGTGAGAGGTTCTCATCAAGTGACTCTTTTCTCCTAGAAATGCTGGGATTATGTAAGTGCAAAGAAAGGCGTTCTACCCAAGTTATGGACAGTCCTCTCAGAGAGGGAGGCAGAGGCTTGGCGACCATTATCTTCCCCAATGTTTTGCCTTTCATCAGCAAAGTCCCCTGTGACATAACGAGCCCTAGGTTGGATTTTTACAATACTTTGTTTGAGTCTTTAATCCAAGGGTAAGTATATTCCGGCCTCCTATAGTGTCTATCAAAACTAACATGTCCATAAACAGCAGAACTTTTGACTGTTTTTAAGTAACCTTTATGAATTGTTAATATTAAATAGACCATGTTGTCAGATTTAAAAAATGAAAGTAAATGCACAGAATATTTAAGGATTTTAAATGTTTGCTTGAAGCATTTCCTTTCCCTAAAGTGGTCTATTCACTTCGGGCTTACTAGAAAATGAGACTAGTCCAGGAAGAGACAATTCTCTGGTACAGTGCTCTTCCTCTTTGCACATCTTTTCTTTTGGGAGTGTCTAATTACTGGCCCAGCTTCGCTGTCCCTCCCTTCACTTCTCTACATAACAAAGAGGACTACTATAGGATGTCACAAGTCAGTGGGAATGCAAAAAACAAAATGCTTGACGTGGGTCAAACGTACCTCCTCAATGAATTCTGAATGATCTTTTAAGGTGATGTCAGACTGATGCCATTGACACAAGTCCAGATCCTATTGACTAAGGCCTTTAGTGTATTTTTTTTTTTTTTTTCTAATGTAAGCAGTGTAAGTACCTGGCATCAATCTCTTGCCATGTCTGTACAGCAAAGCTCAAATTGGAAGAGGTAGAAGTGGCACAAGGAACCAATCAGTGGTTCTGCAGGAACAAGAGGAATAGGAGAGAGCAGAGTGGTAAAGAGGAACTTATTGGTCTGCTGCTTCTCCTATCACCTTCCAGTTGCAGGCTGGCGGAGGGACAAGACCTTTTAACGTTACTTAATTGCAGCAAAAAAAATATCATGTCGGGTCTGTGCTGTGAAAGAGCTGTGTAAATCTCAGGACTGGTTGGACAGCAATACACTTTTATATGTGTTTCATCAATGTATTTGGCGATTTGCCTGGAGTTTAGATTTAAAGTGATATTAAAGGTTCCTATTTTTTCCCTAAAAAAAGAAGTTTATGCTTACCTGCTTTGTGCATCAATATTGCACAGAGCTGACCTTTACCTTCTTTTCTGGGTTCCCTGCTGGCACTAAATGAGTGAAAAAAACAACACATATAGTGTTATAATGGCACTAAATTAATAGTGATATAGTGAGTACAACACAATAAAATGTGAAATAAATAAAAAATTGAAATCCGTGAATTATTGTGAATACAAAAAATGCAAAAAAATATATATAATGATTCAAAGACCACAGAAATTATTCTTCCTTCTTTGGAATCCACCACGTGCTGTTAACTGATAACCAAGTGCTTCAAGTATCCCCCCACACGGATGTGCACTCACCAAAAGTTGTTTCCTCCCACGTTCGTTTTTGGCAA